CTGGGCTGAGGCTGGGTTGGGTAACTAAGAGTATCTCTGACCTCTCTGAGGGAGGGAAAAGTGAGGGCAGCTGGGAGTTCACAGGAATGACTGACTGGGGGGGGTCCCTTCCTGCTTTACATGGTGCCTAGGGCAGTTTCCTCTAAATTAGGGCTATTCAACATGCAGCCCTCAGGCCACGTGCGATCCGGGGCCCGTTTGTTTGCAGCCTGGGGTGTGGTTTGGGTTTACATGGGGCTCAACATGTGTTCCATAGGTGGCAGTCAAAACAAAAAAGTAGTCAATGTAATGGTCTTCTGTTGAGATGCGTTTTAGTAGCTAAATTCCTGAATTTTCATTACAGGCAGTCCCCGACTTACGCGGATCCGACTTACGTCGGATCCGCACTTTCGAACGGAGCTTTCTCCTGTGTTGTGTAGTCTTGCCTTCATCTTTCCTATCAGTGTGAAAGACGCTATTTGCATAGATTTGCATGTATATGCAACCACACTTAAGTTGCAGCCCTCGGCATGTGCTATGAGTATCATTGTGCCCCCAGGGCTTCCAAAGTTGAGTAGCCCTGCTCTAAGGTGTGCGCCTCAGACCTGATTAGTGCATCCTGGTCCTGGACCCTGGAGAGAGACTGTGGAAAGTGATGTGGGAGGAGAAGCAGGGGGTAGGTGGGAGGAAATAGGAAGTGGGTGGAGGTAGGTGCTGGAAAGAGGGGCGGAGGGGTGGGGGACTAAGTTTGGAACATCCCTGGATTCCCAGCCCCAGCTGGGTTGCATGTGGCAGCCTGGGAGAGATGTGGCTTTTTCCAGCTGCCTCTCTGCAGCGCGCGCTGCACTGCCACAGCAGGGAGATAGGAGGGGAGAGCGTCTGATTCTTGGTCTCTCCAGTTCCAGCTGGGCTGTAGGGAGCAACACTTTAGCCAACTCACCGAGTATCCGCTGTCCCAAGAAGTCCAACACCGAGAGTCGGGCCCCACAAAAATCATGACACTGATGGAAAAATAAAGTTTTTTTATATTAACCATTTGGGGCTGCTTTTTTATTTGTGAGCCTTTACGGTACATTTGCTCCAGGGCCCCAAGATTGCATCATGAGAGTTAGAATTGTCCAGTCTTTTTAAAATGAAAGCCGACACTCTCTTGACTTCAGCAGTTCAGGCTTTAAAAAAAACACCAGGTATTGTGGGAATGGCAGGCAAAGCGTGGGAGGCGATGGCACTGATCAGTATTGGTTGTGTTTAAATAAAATACCTCTCATTCAACGTTCCTTCTAACCTTTTCTGTCCCTGTGTGGATTTTTTCCATCCATGTGTGGAATATTTTTATGTGCACCAAAGCATGTGTGAATGTGCACCCTCAGTAGAAACACAAATCTAGCTGTGAGCACTCTACTAATCAGCTGGGCAGCATTTGAGTCTCTCCTGAGTGGCCACACAAGCACACAGCTTACAGGGAACGCTGCTCTCATTGGTTTACTCTGAAACAAAGTGTGGCTCAGAAGAGTTCACTTTTCTCTCCCTCCATCTCTGGTCACTGCTTTTCCCCAGCATCTCTCTCCCTCTCTTTTCAGCCTTGGCCCCTCGCCTGCTGCCAGTCAGTTCAGGCACAGCATCTCTTGCCCTTCCAGTGCCAGCACAGACTTGTCAATGTTAGAAGGCTATAAAGAGAGATTTGTACAGGAAAAAGGATCTTATAACTCCATCGAAACCACAGCTGTAGTGCAGGCAGCTAGTGTTACTGAGGCCCAAATGTGGGAGGAATCCTGGAATGGCTCCAGATTAGGGCCACAAGGGGAAAAAAAGGGGCAGGACACTTTACATTATATGAATTAACTCAAACTTCCAGGTCAATTGCATGGTGCATTTCTGGGACCTGAGTTTCTGCAACATAATCTGTGGTGGGGGCGGGGGAGATGAGAGAATGCAACATGTGAAAGATGTTAAGCACAACACATCATGTGCTACCGGAAAGTGATCAAATACTTCAGTAATGAGCACATTATTAGGGCCTATATAGAATAAAATAGAACATGGTGCTAATTATTTTAACATCAAGAGTAGTGAGTGGGATTTTTCAAAGAGGTTTTCATGCTTGTTTCCCATTAAACCCAATAGGAATTAATCATCCAAAGCTCTTTAGCAGCTTGGGAAGTCTCATCCAATAGCTAAAGTCTGCTTCATGATCCCACATCTCCTCTGCAGATGGTCTGCAATGATAAAAGCTAGAACTTCAAAGCTCATAGGGGAGAAGGGGAAAGGTAAATTTGGGGCTAACTCCTCTCTAAGGAGAAACAGCAGAGAACAATGCCAATGTGTCCTTAGTTGTATCTATTTGTGTATTGCCCTCTGCAGGAGGAGGCCCCAAGACAATGTGTTTCATTGGAAAGCCCCCTGTAGTATTTCAAAGTGATGGCATGTAAACCATGGATATAGCAGTTCTAGTCCACCACTGAAATCAAAGGTGTTCTGCCAGTGTAAAGCTGGAGTGATTCCACAGTGAAGCACAATCAGTTCTCATGGCTTACAATCACCTTAGACAGATTTTCACTGTGGCTATGTCTACATTGGCCCCTATTACGGAATAGGCATGCAAATGTAGCACTTTGGAAGAGGCAAATCCGCGGGGGATTTAAATATCCCCCGCGGCATTTGCATTTTCATGGCCGCCGCTTTTTTCCGGCTTGGAGATAAGCCGGAGAAAAGCATCCAGACTGGCGCGATCCTCCAGAATAAAGCCCTATTCCGGAGGATCTCTTATTCCTTGCAAGTAGGAATAAGAGATCCTCCGGAATAGGGCTTTATTCTGGAGGATTGGGCCAGTCTGGACACTTTTCTCCGGCTTATCTCCAAGCCGGAAAAAAGCAGCGGAGGATCGCGCCAGTCAAGCCGGAGAAAAGCGTCCAATCTCCAAGCCGGAAAAAAGCGGCAGCCATGAAAATGCAAATGCCGCGGGGGATATTTAAATCCCCCGCGGATTTGCCTCTTCCAAAGTGCTACATTTGCATGCCTATTCCGTAATAGGGGACAATGTAGACGTAGCCTGTGTGTAACATGCCTACTAGAGAGATATCTCTTTAAGAAATCTATTGGTGCGGGTGGGGAAGGCGGCCCTAGACTAGCTGCCAGCAACTGGCACCCTAGGTGAACCATGCAATCAGCGCCCCCACCTCCAAATTATATTGCGCCCCCATTTGGCACCCCCATGTAATTTGGTGCCCTAGGCGCCTATGTGGATGGGCCACCCCTGGGTGGGAGTGGGAATGACTTGTGTCTGAGTCAGTGTTGATAGAGGAACACACAATTAATTCTCCATAGTCAGAAGTTTCTGGGATTTGATGTGGTAGTTTTGGATATGCTCAGTAGGTTCCCTATTGCTACACTCATAGGACACCAGACAGCTTGCAAAAGGCCATGACTTGGGTGCTGAATGGGTTGGGAGATACCTTGCCCAGCAGCAGGAAGCAGGTGTTTTCCCTAAATCAGATGCCTTTTGCGGCAGGTTAGTGATACTGTTCACCCTCCAACAGGGTGGTTCTGTCAGTGCTGATGACAGACAGGGGAAACTGGGAGGGAAATATACTTTGAATGTTTGTTTTAGTTAAATGTCTCAGCTAATATGATTCACCAATGTTACTCTTATCTAAATATGATGAGTGGGAAGCCACATTTCTTTTGCTAGTCTAGTTTTGTATTTGTTTTAACTCTATATGCTTAACTAAGTGGTTGGTTATTTGGTTAGCTGAGTAGTTTCAGCAGAGGAGGAAAACTCTGCATGAATTCCAGCTGAACATTTCTACAGCCAAGTGGAGGGAAGTTGTTGCTTTTGACTCAGCTTACCATGTAGGTCTGGTGATCAAAGACTCTGAGGCCCCTTCTTGTGCAAGAAAACCTCTCTTGCACAATGCTGTTACTGTGTAAGCAGCTCCTTCTGGTGCAAGAGCTTCTTCTGCAAAAATGGCAGCTCATTAGGTATGCAAATGAGGCGAGCGATATTCCACGCTTAGCCTCATTTGCATATTTCTGGCGCAAGAAGCCGCGAGTGTAGACATAGCCTGAGACTCGGGTGAATTCAGTCTAAGCTTTTGGGAGTGCCTTTTCACTGTGTTTCTGTGGGGACTGACCTGTTTAGATTCAATTTGTTTTCTTCATGTTCATGTATAACTGTAGAGCTCATATACATGGCTTACATGATAGCCCTGTTATGTTCAAAATATTTTTATTTAAATTTCTTTATCATAAGATTTCATAAAGTTGGCATTGAAGAACTAAATTAATTCCTTTTATTCTTTTGGATTTGACTATGAAAATCTCAGGGTATATCTAGACTACAAACCTTTTTCGAAAGAATCTTTTGAAAAAGCCTTTTTCGAAAGAGAGCATCTACACTGCAACCACTTACTTTGAAAAAGCAAAATAAGTCTGGATGCTCTCTTTTGAAAAAGCCCTGTTTGCATTCAATAGCGCCTTTTTTGAAAGAGCACTTTAGAAAAAAGGTGTTGTTCCTAGTAAAATGAGGTTTTCCATGGTTGAAAAAACGGCTGCGTTCTTTTGAGTTAATTTCTAGATGCAGCTGAAGTTTTTTTGAAAAAAGGTCACTTTTTTCAAAAAAACCCTGTAGTCTAGATACACCCTCACTGAAAATCTTCAGTGAATGAACTCTGGTTCTATAGTTGCTTTCCTTAGGATGCTGGATTTTGTAGGCACTGGAGAATGGCAATGAAGAAAACCCTAGCCCACCCAAAGATTACATGTTAACATGCAGCTATGATAATATTGAGCAAAGAAAACAAATTAAAATATTTAAAAACAAACAAATATTTAAAAATAAGGACATGCTGCTGCTTCTTTCCCTGGTCTGGGTTTTTTATTATTATTATTATTTGAAAGCTGTCATTTTCATGTCTGCCAATGTTTTGGGTTGGTTTTGTTTCAGAGAAAAATGCAAGTTTCGTTTTCTATGTACAGATTTACAACATTGTTTGTACGATGCTACTCACTCCTGGCTCCACCCACAACTGATCACAAGAATGATTCAGCTCTAGGAGTCACAGCATAACCAGACCACAACATTCAAAAAATCAGGAATTATACCCCCAAAATCATGAGATTATCTTAATAAGTATCTGGATTCTTAAATAATACAGATGCAGTTATTTTTATTTGCCTTCTGGTCTTGGAGTCTTTCCAAGCTTTTTGTTTTGTAATCATGAGGGTGAGAAACTTGCTTCTTTCTTTTAAATGAAGACTGAGATATCTTGACTTTGGAAGCTGGCACTTTAAGAAAAAAACAAAAAATATCACAACATTTTCCAATGCAAATTCAGACTTGTCAACACTGGATTCAGCAGAGCAAATTCCTTATTCAGAACTCTTCCCAGGGCTAGATTGTTGCATGCATTATTTGCAATTACTTACCACAGTCCTTTATCAATTATTTTCATAACTAGCTGCTAAAACTGTGCACACAATTGCTGTACCTGAATGCATACCATGGCATGAATAGATGGGCCTCTGTTGAGAATTTTGACATGACCAAGAGCTTTCAGGTGGAAGCAAAACAAAGAAGAGTGATCTCTGCTTAAAGAAACTTAAAGAAAAGCTGTTTACAATGGATTTTAACGTAGCAGAGTCCACCCACAGTAAGTTGTCCTTTATGGAAGTATGAAAATATAGATCCACTCTGTTCCCTGAAGCTCAGACAGATTTCAAAGAAGGATCTTCCAGATCAGCTAGCATGAGAGATGTGCCTAAATCGATGGCATCTGAGCCAAGGACACTCATGTAAGAGAATGGAGCACACAAAGGTAAACTCTAGGAATGGAATATCTATTCATCTCTCCTGTTTTTTTCTATTAATATCCTCCCTGCTTCTATCAGGAAGTTCCCTTCTCTTGCTTACCGATGTATATTAAAATGGCCACAGACTGTCTGAGTCATGTGTAACACTTTATCCGCAGACAGACATTTTTACAGAGGACTTTGTCTTGTCAAACTTCAGTTTCGGTTTCTGAGATGATACGTAAGTTGCAATTTCCATTTCCAGCTTCACCGCACGGTATCAGTTTTTGTTTTGTTTCTTTTAGAAACCCAACCCCAAGTTACTCTTTTCTTTCTGTTCTGACTGGATGTTTGGTTCTGATTAATACATGCTCATATGCCGGAGTCAGTTGTTTTGTGACGAATTCTGTAATTGACTTTCAGTCTGCTTTAGGATTTGGACAAATGGCAAAAGCAACACATAGTGCAGGTAAGATTTGCTTTTAAAGATATTCTAAGTTTTTAATGAAAAATTGCCTGACTTTTCTGGCTGCTCATTTATACTCCTGACTCTGTCTGTTACTTTTGATGTTTAGCACATAGATGAGACTGATTTGATACGAGTGGCATTGTGTATCCTAGGAAAGTAGAGGAAGGGGGGCTTCAGAAGCTAAATTATAGGTTCTGTCTTTGTCATCATATGTCTGCCTTAGGAGAGCGATTGGAAATGTCTCCTGCTTACTAGAGAACACCGTGAATAAAGCTGGCCAGAAAATGGAGTCTATGAAAAAAGATTAATTTTTCAGCAGAAAATGTTGAAAGTCAAAACCAATTTGGTTTTCACCAACTAAATCATATATTTCCAGCCAAAAACTGTCCGATTCCACCCTCTCCTCCTGACCCCAAAAATGAAATCAGAAAACTTTCTGTTTAATGGGCATTTTTTGAAAAACTGAATATTACCAAAGATAGCAGAGACTTTCAGAAAAAAAAATCATTTAGCCAAGCCCCCAGTTTTCCACAGGAAAACAAGTTTTCATGGGGCATTTTTGATTAGCCCTTGCAATGAGAATTGGGGGACAAAGGGGTTTCTCTATCAACTCCCACCAAAGCTGGCAGGTGGAAGGTTCAAGTCATCAAGCAGTTATGAAGACATCTGACAGGCAGGGATTGAAGGATTAAAATGGGACTAATCTGGGTCCATTGGCTATTTTCAGATTCACACAAACCCCAAGCTGGAAGACTGTGAACCCATGACACTGGCATCCACATGGTTAGTTAGGTATAATCCACCCATGGGATGCATAGCCTTAGCTAGAGGGTGTCCCGCTCCAAGAGCTACCCACAGTACACTGCCTGAGGCCTGGGGCAGCTGTGCTGTTGGTGTAAACTTGTCCAGCAAGCTCGCTGTGTTGGCTGAGCTCCTAACTATAGACGGACAAAATAATAATTAAAGAAAACAATTAAATGGCCACCAAAACCAATTGGTTTGGTGAGAGCCCCCACAGCTGGCACAGCAAAAGCACTGGGAAGAGACCAACTTGTGGAGCCAGGCTGCACTTGCTCTGGCCAGAGAAGAGGTGGGAGAGGGAGCTTGACTCTAGTAATTCATACTTTGTCAAACCTTGGAAACATGCAACACTGCTCCACTCGGGGGCCCAATCCCGGGCATGCTGCGCTCCCCCTGAGCAGAATGGGATGGGAGGTGCTCACTTGGGCTCAGCACCTTTCAGGATTAGAAGCCAGCTTTGCCCATGTCCAAGGTGTACTTGGACCCCATTATGTGGTTATAAGACCCATGTAGACGGGGCCTTATTTTCAGCAAGGTAAGAAAAATTCAGTCCGTTCTCTACTCTTTCTTTCCATCTTGGCTGGAAATAGTTACCATCTTTCCAATCACAGAATGTGTTTACCCTCGTCTCTTCTTGCCAGTCTCAGAGGGGTAGCCGTGTTAGTCTGTAACCAAAAAAAGTTTAAAACAACCAATAGTTCTGCAGCACCTAAGTCTGTCTACACAGCAGCGTTATTTCAGAATAACTGACATTATTGTGGAATAACACAGAGCGCATCTACACAGCAAGCCATTATTTTGAAATAATGTCAAGCTGCAGGACTTCTTACTCTGATTCGTGTAACCCTCATTTTATGAGAAGTAAGGAACGTTGAAGGAAGAGTGTTCTTCCTTCGACTTCCTGCTGTGTAGACAGCTTAATTCGGCTTTCGGCGCCATTTCGACTTCAGCTACGCAATTGATGTAGCTGAAGTTGCGTAGCTTAATTCGACTTCAGCCCTGCTGTGTAGATGTGCCCTTAGAGACTAACAAAAAATGTAGAGGATATAATGAGCTTACATGGAAAAGAGGGAGGGAATAGAGGAGGAAAAAAGGATAAAAATATTGTCAATTAGAGTGTCTGTGCTAAACGATGCTCTCTTTCTCTGCTCTTTATTGTACCCTGGGCCCCTCACTCCATTCATCTGAAGTGGATCGTGCTCATGATACCATCTACATTTTTTGTTAGTCTCTAAGGTGCTGCAGAACTATTCATCATTTAAGTTTCTTCTTGTTGGATTTAGCCTGAGTCCTGTAAACCCTTTCTTTGTGTGAGAATCCCCATGGACTTCCCATGGACTTCGTCGCACATGAGCAGAATTGCCTCCTTTATTACAGCCTCCTGCTACAAGCTGAAATTTCAAGAGCTTTGTGAGGATTTCCGCACCTCTCTTTGGATTGCCCATTAGACCAGAATTTCCCAGAGTAATGCTTATTGATCAAGTGACTAGGTCACATTCTGATCTTGGTTACGTGGTAAACCGAGAAACATCTTTCACTTTTTGTAGCTTTTTGGAGACGGTGGGGGTGGGGAGGGGAGATACGAGGAAATGTACATACTTTCATTCTCAAACATTAGCGTGGAGACATTTTTCCTAGTTCTTTTTCCAAGTCCAGGCATGTCTGAACCTCTGTAACAGATCCATTAGAGTGCAGGGAGAGGGGGGGCAGGGGAGGGGTGCAATAATTTTCACTTATGACTTTTGGTACGTGGTCATGGGACAGCTCCACACACACCCTCCCCCAGAAGGGATGGGACCTGGGACAGCAGGGGTGGGCCCGGGGACTAGTCTCCCCCCAGAGTTGCCTGAGGCTGGAGGATTTGCATTAAAAACACAGCAAAGGACTCACCACTCCCAGCTCTACAGCTACCATGATGCCTGGCAGCAGCCTGGAGTTGCTGCAGCTATTTAAAGGGCTCACAGCTCTAGCCCGTGCCATGGTAGCACTGCAACTGGGAGTGGCGAGCTATTTAAATAAGATCCTGCTGCCTGAGCCACTGCCTGGAAATTCAGTTGCATGGGCAGCAGGATATAAATAGAAAGCATCCAGATGCCATCCCCGGGCCAGATCGAAGTGTTAGGCAGGCTGGATCTGGCCCCGGGCCTCATCTTGCCCAGCCCTGCCTTAGAGCTTGGCTCTGAAGAGGGACAAACGTTGAGGCTGGTAGCACTAATCTGATCTATGTCCCTCAGTTGTCCCTATTGGTCGTGGCGAAACCTAATAAAAACAAACCATCTGGGAGTCATTTCCCATCATGCTTCACCCTGAACTGTATCTTCTAAAGTCGTTCATTTATTCTCCAGAATTGGCTGAGTTACAACGTGGTGACACAGGAGTTTAGTGGAATCAAAATTACATTTTAATGGTAAACATTTGTCCAGAAATTAATGTCTCTGAACTAATCGTTCTCTCCAACCAATGTGTTCAGGAACAAATGACTGTCTCTAATTGATTTTATGATATAAAGGGACATGTACATGTAGAAAATCACCCATGGATAATTGGAAATCCCCTTCTTTCAGCAGGTATCCACACAATCGCTCAACTGCTGCATTTCCTGGGTCTCTCACAGTTGTCGTTGAGGCGCTGCATTTGCAGGCGCTGAATTATTAGCTGAGGTGCATCTTTTCAATACACTATGGAGCTCAATTTGGGTTTAACCTTCAGCCCATGGGCTACATGCACCCCATTGGGGTTCCGCATGGACCCCCCCACTTACTTACTGTTCCCCCTCCCTTTCAGCACTTTCAGAGCACCGAGAATCTCGACTGATTCGTGCTCCATCCCCGCTCCTCTCCCCCCACTCCCAGAGCTTGAAGGCCGCAAATCAGCTGATTTATGGCAGTTCAAGCTCTGGGAGAGAGGGGAAGAAGTGGGGACGAAGCATGAATCAGCTACAAAAGTGCTGGCAGGGAGGGGGAGGAGTAGATAAATGCTGCAGTACATGAGTAGGTGGAAGGGGGCAGAAAGGGGGTGCACAGGCTGCATGTGGAGCCCCAATGGGCCACAGTTTGCAGCTTGCCCATCACTTTCAATCTTGCGGCCCACTGAGGTGAAGGAGAGCCACTCATGTGGCCCACTCAGTAGTGTCGATGGCCCAGCGCTGATGCATTGTAAGAGTTTTCTCATGGCTCGGAAAAAGTCCTGACTGAGGTCTGTAGTGATGACTTTCTCACCGCAAAGGTATTTGTGATGTCTTCAGATCCTTGAGCTCCGTCAGTCACTCCAGTGTCAATCCCAGATTGTAAAGGTGTCTTGGGCAACAGCCAGGGACCCTTTTAACAGCTCATTGATAGTTCATCCCCTCTGCAAAACAAAACACAACATAAAAAGAAACTCCAGCTGAGTTCTTGCTCTTTCTTTTGAACTAATTTTTCTGAAGTTTTATGAGTTATTGAATTCATAATGCACCGACACTACACACGGTCTGTGTGCTAGCAGCACTGAAAACTAAGAATCAGAATTTGAAAAACAGCAAACTGAGTACCCACTCATGAAGGGCGATGGACACATGAGGTCTTGCCCTCATGCAGAGCAGATCTCAGGATGCTCAGCTGACATCAATTGCCTTGATAGAGTAAGAGAGCCCCGTAAGAACCTTAGGCCTCAATTATTCAGATTTCAGCCTCCAATGTAAATATTCCTAACCATTTTTAAGCACGCTAATGTCGCTTGCTTATTGAGAGTATATAGTAGTCATGGACCGCTGGTGCATTATTCAGATGTTTGAAGGTAAATTACCTTAGCTGCTAAGGTGTGCAAAAGCCCAAAATTCAACATACCTAAGGACAGGTCTATACTAAACTGGAAGGTTGGCTTAAGATACACAACTCCAGCTATGTAAGTAATGTAGCTAGAGTCAACATACCTTAAGCCAAATTTCTCTAGTGGAAGCTCAGTGGCTGAAACTCTCCCGTTGACTTCCCAGAGTTCTCAGGAGTGTCCTCAGCTTTCTGCTTAGCAGGACCTTACTAGACCTGCTAAATCAAATGCCAGATCTGCAACTGGTCCACCTTGGGTAATAGAATCCCGCTGTTGAAACTTACACTCGGTAGACTTGTACAGGACTGTGTAGGCGTATCTCCAGCCTCTGGTATGTATTCTTCATCCATACAAATGTGGTGTTATACAATAAATGAACAAATGTGCCTAAATATGAATACAGCACTGACTCATACAGGGCTGACATCTGTTAATTTCACTGGGCTTTAGATCAGGTCCAGGTACCAAACATCTTACCTGAAAGCCAAGCTGCTAAAATCTGGCTCTTCAAAGAGTTTGGAAGAAGTCCAGACCAAATACAGTAAAACTTGCATTATCCAGCACGCTTGGGGATTAGGACTTTCCAGTTATCTAAAAATTCCGGTTATCTGAGGGTCCCATTAACCTAGGAAAAACCAATGGACAATAATAGTAAAACTCAGGGTTGTAATATTGGTAATTTTGTAATGTGAGGCAGTTGGTCTCACATTTCTATTGTGAGTTAAAGATGATTAATACTTCTTAAATAAAAAATTGTTAAGCCAATCATGGTAAATCAAGCCAGGCTTGTGAGCCTGAAGATGTGACAGTATTATAGCTGGGGGCAATGCCAGCTAACAAAGTTTTCTGGTTAGCAGAGTGCTGGATAACAGAGGTTTCACTGTAGTACCTTTCCAGTGCAACTTAGGAAGCTGTGCTGCACATACCTAAGGAGGCAACTGTGATCAGCATTAGTGGCATTTAACTTTACAAATAATGGCAACTTTACAATATGGCAGGGGAAATTCACAGAATGTGCCATGAGTGGCACTGAAATTCGGAAAATAAAAGCTGCTGAAGATGTGAAAACCGATGGACAGGGTATAAATCCTTGGGGTGCATCTAGACTGGTAAGATTTTGTGCAAAAGCAACTGCTTTTGCACAAAAACTTGCCAGCTGTCTACACTGGCCGCTTGAATTTGCGCAAGAGCATTGACTTGAAAAAGCCCTCTTGCGCAAGAATACTTGCGCAAGAGGGCCAGTGTAGACAGGGAGGAGCTGTTTTGTGCAAAAAAGCCCCGATGGCTAAAACGGCGATCGGGGCTTTCTTGAGCAAAATCGCGTCTAGACTGGCCACGGATGCTTTTGCACAAAAGCACATTTTGCACAAAAGCATCTGTGCCAATCTAGACGCGCTTTTGCGGAAATACTTTTAACGGAAAAACTTTTCCGTTAAAAGTATTTCCGCAAAATCCATCCAGTCTAGACACAGCCTTGGCGTAGACATTTTATGTCATGTCACTTCCTTTGCTTGAGGGACAAATTTTGCCTGCAGATATCCATGTGAATTTGTGTAACTATCAGAGCACCAGATTTAGCCTGTATTAGGAAGATCATCTGGGACAATTTATTTGGGTCTAGTGTCTAATTCCTGAGTGGTGCTGAAATCATTGGGAGATAAAGACACTTAACACTTTCCAGGTCCATAACTCCCAGCCTTGAATTGTTGTCTGCTGAAGTCAGTATAAGTATTTCCATCAACTTCGATGGGAATCGGATCAGCCCCTCAAAGAGCAGGAGTCAGGTTTAACTCAATTGCTAGCCCATTTTTATTGTATGGTGTATTTACAAAAATACCAGCCATGCGCTGTTTGACATACTCAGCTCAGGGTTTTTTTCATTCATCCATATTTAATTTCAGCGCTGGAACTCTGCAAGCATATATGCATGTCAGCAGCTCATTGTCAGTTTAGTATTAAAGTATTAGTCAGAATTGACTTTCTGCAGCATCCCAAACTCATTCATGATTATATAGCAATGGCACAGGACTGCTTCACTCAGCTTTGAATATTTTACAATGTTGCTATCGCTTTTGAGCAGTGTCTGCAGTCTAACTTACTTTCGGCTTCAGTAAACAAATGTAATCAAGGTTCATTCAAAAGTAGCTTTTTTGGAGTTTCTCCAGAGGAGCAAATAATCTGTTTTTTTTTTAAGTCTGCATAGCAAATGATTTCCTCATTTTAATTATGTTGACTGTAATGTGCTTGCAATAATTAATGCCAGTGCTAATGGATGATTGAAATTTCTCCTTAATAATATCATTAGGAATGGATACATTTCATGCATTTAATTGTTTTTGTAAAACATCAGCTAAGCCCTCTTGCCTCCCATTTCCTATTTCCTGATTAAATTAGTTTGTATGCAAGGGCAAACCATGTTTCATAGCTGTAGCATCTTGGAGGAAATAAAACGGGTTTTTGGTTAGATGTACCAAAGTATTTTCAATTAGAGTCGCTGTTTCTGTTCTTTGTCAGTTTCAATGCTCTGCTCTGCTCTACTCCCCTTTCTTTCCTGGCCTTCTTGAAAAGAAATAAAAAATATGACAGGCAGGGATTGCCCTGAAGATGTCATTTTGGGTGGATAAATACATATTAATTAAAGCTTAAATATGTAATTACACCTGTTTTATATGATGTATAAATGCAGTAGAAGGCCATGACATCCTGTAATCTCAGTCCATTTCATGCCTCCACTACCAATGTCCAATCACAGTTCCCCATTTGGTTTCTATGAATATTATTACAGAATATTATGCTCTCAGTTATAAATACAAAATTCAGACTGAAGATCAGGGACAAGGGCTAAAATCTCATTGCTGTAAAAAAGAGGGTGAGAAGTATTGTCTGAATTGCATGTTAACGCTTTTTGTGCTTGCATTTCATTTCAGAAGTGGAACAACTTGTCTTGGACCACATAAGGACAGCTGCCCCTCCACAGAAGGCCTATCAGATTGCTCACGCATGTTCAATTACAAAACAGGAAGCCAACAAAGTACTGTACAAGCTGCATAAGGAGGGAAAGGTTGAGAAGAATGTCAGCCATAAATGGGTGGTCCGTGCAGAGGAGACAGAGGGGGAATGTCATCAGAAAACCACTGAGTTGAAAACTGGTAAATCGTCTGAGAAACCTTTTAAAACTATATTTACAGCTTTCGATGGTGAGGGCATTTGGAAGCAGAGTTTGTTTTCAAGTTGGTAACTAAATTGTGGCTACCTGCATCAAAGACTGTCGAGTCTTTGACTCCAAATACTTGATGTCCACTTTTTTACTCGGTGCAAGGGGTAACAAGTCAATCAGCTGTGTTCTTTCTCCTTTGTACGGAACTGAAACACGACTAAAGCAGGAGGTGCACTGACTCTTAGGCAGTTTTGCATTGAACCTTGTCCAGGGTGGACAGAGAAGGCAGATAAACCACATGTTACGTTCTCGGAGGGTACCCTGCCCTAGGACAGTTCTTTTGCATTACAGTCCTTGCAATCTTGGTGCATTCCGGACAAAAATTGGCTTTTCAGAAATATTTTTGAGTGTCAGGCTCCCCTCCTTATTCTGACGCAGGGTGGGTCTGCACCCAGAGAAGGGGATAGTTAATCCTCTACAGAACACTCCCCCCCCCATCCTGTAACACATCTCCACATCTCCAGCTTCCCCGAGCCGTGATGAGGAACCATGGTTCCCAGGCAGGGGAATCTGGCACTGCCACATCCTGTGCCATGGAGACCTTCCTCTCTCCAGGAGGCATAGACCCTGCAAGTACCACTTCTGCAGGAAAAGCCAGGCAGAAGAATGACTCTGTGGATCTCATGGGATCCTGAACTCTGTAGCTCAGAATGAAAAGCTCTGCATGACCCTCCATGGGCTTCAATCCAGGGTCCTTTCCCCTCCACAGGATCTCTGTTAGCCAGGGACCTTTGGCTGGGATAGGTTTAAGCTAGCTAGAGAGAGGACCAACTCCACTCCAAGGCAGAGGTGCCATTCCCACCCCCTGATCAACTCAAGCCATGCAGCAAGCCAACCCTCTGCTCATATCCTCGCTCTTTTAAAGCCCCACATTCTCTGGAGCTGGCTGAAAATCAGTACCATGGCTATGCAGCAAGGGTGTCTGCTCCCCTGGGAGTCTGGCTTAGGAGACTGGTACAAGAAAGGAGAATGAGAAATCAGTCTCTCTTCCTAGCTAAATAGCAGAACTTTTCACAGCCCCCCCCCTCCAAATGACAGTGCCTGATAATGTTCTCTGTTTCTAGATGACACCATGCTTGTCTCACTGCACCAGCCTGTGAACGCTCTGATGCCTGTGAAAGCTGACAGCAAACTGACAGAAATCGGTAAGATATTTGCCACATGCCTAAGACTGACTCAACTAACTTTAGAAATCTCTGGTTAACGATTTTTGACAACCACAATGGAGATTTCTCAATGTTAGCATTACGCTATTGTATGCGTACACGTGTAGCGTGGTTATTGGAGTCACAAATCATGTTGCCTCTAGAGATACTTTGCATGACTAGCATGCAGGCGATAGTACAGTCTCATCCTGTCAGGTGACCCTCCAGAAAGCCTCTGTCTTGGCGAGACAGAGCCCCACCCTGAAGCACTTTAGTGCATGGGGAGCCCAAAAACTGCTACACCGCTTTAAATGACACAGCAGACAGCCCTCCTGGGTGTGGTGTCCTGTCCCATCTAGTGGCACTGAGACCACTTACATAGAGAATAATGGAACTGTGCTACAACCTCAGCTGAGAGGCTGCTGGCTTTTAGCTCATGTAGTAGAGGCTCATACACTAAGCTCCCAGGTTCAATTCCACCTGTCCACATTACACATGCAGCCCTCTGGCTCTGGTACTTGGTGTATAGAGACAGAATTATGGGTCCACCTACTTCCCCATTGCCTGAGCTGGATAGCACAGAGCACATTACTGGCAATCCCAGTGAAGTCATATGAGCTGATAATTTGGTAAGACTCAAAGGGGAATTTGATAGACCATGTGAGGTCTCAGGGTCATCGATTACCAGCCCAGTATTCCCAGGGAGCAGCGTAGCTGGATTAGCTTCCATTTCTGGCAGTGAATCATTAAGTCCACCCTTTGTTTCCCAGAGGACCAGATTTACAAGTTTCTGTCAGAAAATGGACCTCAGAATGCACTAGCCATTGCCAAACACCTGGGAAAGACGACCTGCAAGGCTGTGAATGCAGATTTATATGCGCTTCAGAAGAAACATCTCCTCAACTTGGAGGACACCACAAACCTTTGGTCGGTTTACAGAGAGTTCACAGGTATGGTCCTGAGATGCATTTCTCATAACACTGCACTGTGGGCAGCGATACAAAAAGTGGATTTGTTTTCTTTTGGGCTGTAAAAAATTTCAGCTTGACAACTAAATGGTCCTCTTTGGCTTCAAGAACTCTGGCTTTTCCTCGAGTTGCATAGCTGCACTAATACTCACAGCTTGATCTATCTTTAACCAGAAGTTCTGGTAAACTGGCCAGTGCACCGGGCTGAGACTTGGGTCTTGGTTCAGCCAGGTGCTGTCTGATTCACTATGTACCCTCCTAAGGAAATAGGAGTTCATTTAACTCCCTGCTGCTCAATGTTCTTTCTCATCTTTTTCCATCCATGTGCAGAATAATTTTGACATGCACCAAAGCACATGTGAATATGCACCACCAGTAGAAACAAAACCTAGCTGTGGGCACTCTGCTAATCTGTTGGGGGGGGGGGATTTGAATCTCTCCTGAGTGCACAGCTTACAGAGAAACACTGCCCAGTGGTGCTCCCATCTCCTCCTCCGTAAAATGGAGAGAGCGTCTGTTGGCCTTGTAAAGGCTTCTAAGATCCTGAAATTATTAGTCCTGTGTAGCCCCAAGTTATTATGCACACACATGAGGAGAAAAAGAGACGCTGCCTATCGTTCTCAGACAAAAATAATTTCATCTTGTTATCTATATGCCCTAGTCTTGATCAGACCCATTTCTGTCATTCTTTTCTGAGGATCAAATCCTGCGCTTGGAGTACACACCATTGCCACTGTTAGTTGTACATAGGTCTCGGGCATTGCTGGATGACTGAGATCTCTTTGCCACTGACACTGCTAGACACGCAGACACAGAAGTTCTATGTAAATTCACACTCCCTCCACTCTCCCTGACTTCCATAGCTCCTCCCAATGTGTTCCTGCCCACAGCCATCCATTCTGAGACCACAACACTGCCAAGACTCGTCAGTGTCACTATGAAACCAGAATTCTTGCATAGCATTTACTCCCTCTCAATACACACAAGTCGTAACATAACAGGTGCCTCTGGGCATGTCTGCACAGAACACTAAGTCTTGGCGCTCAGTCAGGTTTGAGCCATTGCAGTCCACACACAGATCAGTCTGTCTTGGGTTAGTAAGCGCACAAGATCTGGGTCCTAGAATCCTGCTAGAGCAGGGATGGCCAACCCATTACAGATAAAGAGCCAAAATAGTGGTGGATACAGCACAAAAAGCCCAGGGAAAAAAGCTGTTGAGGGGGAAAAAAAAAAGCCCCAACCACCGCGTTTCGTTGAGCAAAACAAACCCAAAACAAAAAAACAACTGTTTGCCCTTTTCAAAGCAGAGCAGGCATTGCCCTTTTAAGGCAGCCATTTCAGACAGAAACACACTGCCCCTTTAAGAACCACAAGCTGTGGGTGCCATCATTTTTTCTTTGAAGAGCCGCTAGGAAGCCTAGAGAGAGGCTGGGTTTTGTCTCAGGACAAGAACTGCTTGTCTCCCAGGAGAATTATATTTGTCTTTTGTACTGGTGACTAAATGTGTGTTTTTTTTCTTTTCCAGATGACAAAGCAACAAGTCTTGGAGCAAATAAGGCCATTGGTCCAGTTATAATCCAGAATAATCCAACAAACATTATCTATCAGGGAGGAGTGCAAAACACTGTCTCTATAGCTGCTTCCACAGCTACTCAGATTGGAAACTACAACTCTCTGAATCTAGTGGATAAAAAAGATGGTAATCATCAGTCTGCGCTGGTTTATGGTTACTCTAGTGGTTATCGTCTCTGTGAACAGACATGAACAACGGCCATCATAATTGAGAACATGCAAAAGATTTCATGTTTCATTCCAGCTGGATGGAGAATGGAATTTCTGTAGGATGTGCCAACATGTTGAAATTTTGCTTTTGCTCAAAACGGGAATAAAAGTTACTACTGCAAAATGGAAATCTTGAAAAAAAATCTGTTGGGGAAACACCAAATCATTTCATGTCAATAACTGAAACTATAACATAAATGCATTAAGTATGCAGTACTGGGTCAGATCAAAGGTCCCAGTATCCTGTCTTCTGACAGTGGCCAGTGCCCGGTGCCCCTGAGGGAATCAACAGAACAGGTACTCATGAAGTGATCCACCTGTCGCCCATTCCCAGTTTCTGACAGAAAGAGGCTAGGGACACCATTTCTACCCATCCTGGCTAATAGGTCCATTAATGGCTATCTAGCTCTCTTTTGAACCCTGTTAAAGCCCTGGTCTTCACCACATCCTCTGACAAGCACTTTGACAGGCTTACTGTGCACTGTGTAAAGAAATACTTGTATTTTAAATCACCATCCACACAGTAGGAGGTCGACTGGAGCAAACGTTCCCATTGGCTTCCCTTACTCCTTGTGAGGAACAGGAATACCAGGGCTGACGGGGCACCCTCTCAGTTTGAATTAGTGGATCTTCACTAGCCCCTCTAAATTGAACCCTGGAAGATTGACTGTGGCATTGTTGATATTCCACATAGTATAATTTTCATCTTGACAAGGTCCTCTGGCAAAGAGTTCCACAGGTTGACTATGCATTGTGTGAAAAAAATACTTCTTTTTTTTGTTTGTTTTAAACCCTCTGCCTATTAATCTCATTTGGTGATTCTCTAGTTCTTATTTTATAAAAAGGAGTAAATATCACTTTCTTATCTATTTCTCTACACCAGTCATGATTTTATAGACCTCAATCATAGTCCCCCTTAGTCATCTCTTTTTCAAGATGAAAAGTCCCATTCTTATTCATCTCTCCTCACATGGAAACTGTTTCATACTCCTAATCATTTTCTGAGCCCTTCTCTAAACCTCTTCCAATTACAGTCTATATTTTTGAGATGGGGTGATTTACATTTTACTAATGGTAGAGATGTAGCCGTGTTAGTCTGGGGTAGCTGAAGCAAAATGCAGGACAATGTAGCACTTTAAAGACTAACAAGATGGTTTATTAGATGATGAGCTTTCGTGGGCCAGACCCACTTCCTCAGATCAAATAGTGGAAGAAAATAGTCACAACCATATATACCAAAGGATACAATTAAAAAAAAAGTGAACAAATATGAAAAGGACAAATCACATTGCAGAACAGAAGTGAATGCCAGTGAGTTGATATTAGAGGTGGGGAAGGGGAAATGTCTGTGAGTTAATAGTATTAGAGGTGATAATTGGGGAAGCTATCTTTGTAATGTGTAAGATAGTTGGGGTCTTTGTTAAGTCCGGTGCGGAGAGTATCGAATTTTAGCATGAATGCCAGTTCAGAGGCATTTTACTAAGGGATTGTGCCCGCTGCTTGCTATGCTCACCAACCCCCCGCTCTCTGGTGGCTTTCATGACCAGAGAGCACGAGAGTGTGATGACATCATTCTGTCACCCAGCAGGAAAAACGTTTTTATATATAGAGAGAGATAATATAAATTAAAATTACTATTGCAATATACACCTAATATAGACCAGATCAAAATGAGAGGGCCAAAGCAATTATTCTGGCACTCTTCCATAGAAAATTTCATTATTATCATTTTATTAATAGAGTTTTTATTCCTTCCCTTTACATTTATGCTTTAGATAATAGACCAAGTACTCCGAGCCCTAGGGCTGAATCAGAGAATGCTAATACATTACACTGTGAAGTTGAAGCAGCCACCCAGGGTGGTCAGGAAATCAACATCATAGAGTCTACACTCAAGAATACTGTGATTGGTGATGATAATCAAATGAATATCATTCTGAAGGATTTCCCTCACAGCCCAGAGGAGCATGTGGACCAAGGTGGCATTCCAGAAAAGAGTAGGTACAGTGTGTTGGCTTGTGTCCTACCCTCTGCAGAGCACTGACTATATGAAAGCTCCCCCAAGAACAGTCCTTTCTGCAAGAGCGTTGAATTGTGAATCATTACAAGACACGTCAGTGCCAAAACAAACCTGTATTACCCTAGACACTGGGCATAATGCTCAGAGTCTATGATAGGGAGCAGCAGTGACTGTTGCCCTCCAACCTTCTCCATGTAGCTCTGTCCTCTTTCACAACCATGGCAGGAACACATGCCTAGGGCAGTTGTGGAATCTCCATCATTGGAGATATTTAAGAGCAGATTAGATAGACATCTATCAGGGATTGGTGTGTTGGGACTGCGGTCAGGGCAGGGGACTGGACCTGATGATCTCTTGAGGTTCCTTCCAGATCTAGTATTCTATGATTCCATGATTGTGAAAAGTAGTGGCCTTAGGATGATGGAGTTTGGGTAAACATCCTCTGGCATCTTACAAGCTCATGTTAGCGACTCCCTCCTTTATCAAAAACCTCTGAACCCTGCAACCCTCCCAGAAAGCCTACATTGAAGGCAGGCAGAACCAATTTTATGACAGAGTGCAGCCCAGAAAATGGGTCCTCACATTCATAATTGGCTCTGCAGCTATCGTCTGCTTCTGATTCCCACCGACTTGAAAGGGATATAGGACCAGGCAATTCAATTCCCCATTTGCGAATACTTCCCCTGTGATTGAGGGACCGAGAGTCAGAGGAGCTGATTCTATCCAAGGCCCTACCTCTGACTTGCCAAGTGGCCTGGGGCAAACTGCTTAATGTCATCTATAAAATGAAGGTGCCAATATTTTGTATGATGCTTTTAAGTTCCACTCATGGAACACGCTGCCCAAGTGCCAAAAACTCTTTAGAATTGTGTTATTTACCCTCCTGCCTGGATCCATTTATTTCTGTGCAACAAACTAAAATGCTGAGACTTCTGCTACACCCAAGTCCTGAGAAAGGAGTACATCGCCTTTTTGAGATTGACTAATTCTGTCTGTCTTATGCCTTATTCTGTTGTTTTTATGACTAATGCTCCCTCTACCCTTTTTGTAAACTCTAGATCAATTTGGTGACTTTCTTACAAGCAGCCTTGGGCCATCATTGAAAATTGTTAACACCCACCCCAGAGACGGGAGCGCTCCATTACAAAGAGTCAGTATCGACAAGTCCAAGATGGAGAATGTCATGCTTGGAAACAGCAACAAGTTGAATGTTCATGACCAGCGTGGTTCTGCCGGTCTCGCAGAGGAGGAAACAAATGAGGAAGACGATGGTTCAGGTGAAGTTGCCTAATGCCTTTTGGACACATGTAGGCCAGTGTTTCCCAATTTTATTTGGCTACGGAACCCTTTTAAATTCGGAAGAATTTTGAGGAACCCCTACAGCCGGGGGGGCCAAAATGCAGACATGCATGTCCCAGGTGGGCTTTGGAAATACAGAGTAGCAGCTGGGGAGGGGAGGTGTCTGAAAGCTGGCAGGAAACCAGAGAGGAGTTGGTGTCTTTGCTTGCCGGCTCCTCTCTGTCTCTTTAAGGGGTGGGCGGGGGAGTGAATGAGTTCTCGCGGAACCTTTTCACCTCACGGAACCCCGGGGTTCCGCAGAGCACCATGTGGGAAACACTGTTGTAGGCTCTTCCTGATGTGGATGAGTTAGCTCCATGGTAGGTGCCAGACATTTGCCTAGGCCATACTTGCCAAACTTGGGTAGGTGACCAGTTCTAAAAATTCTATATTGGGGGTCTGATCCAAAAACTCTTTAGATGAATGGGAATCTTTCCACTGGCTTCAGTGGGCTTTGGATCAGATTCTAGAGCTCTCACTGGGTCCTTTCTCCCCCTCCGCCCCATAATGGTGGAATAAATTGATACTTTGTGCAGGGGGAGCCCTAACTTACACCACTGGCATGACATCCCTTAGCAATCTTACACCAGTGGAGAATAAAGTGCAACAGGGCTCTTTGCTACCCGAGGCATGTCACCTCCAGGGAATCAGCAAAGGGGTGGGAGTCACTGTGATGTCCACCAGACAGTGCATAGTGGCAGACTGGAGAATTCATCCCAAGTGTTGATATTATTTATCAGGGTACTTTTCCCATCATGCTAAACTGTAATTACTTTGCAAAAACCTTGGTTTCTCTTTTGCTGCATGCTGTTCCTTTTTCACATCAATATTTCTTACTTTTGTATCTTAAGCACTGATCATGAATGTCCTTTAAATTTTAAATGAAATATGCAGAGATAGAAGCAAATGTGAGTACCAGTGTCAGGAACCAGGATGTATTTATTTTCGTATAAGGATTGCACAATCCAGTTGCATTTAGAGCATGCAGGGCAGCTGGCACACAGCTCTACCTTGCTCCAGTCGTTTGAATGATTTCTCATGTTCGGTCTTGCTTAATAATTCTACCAGATTGCAACTTGACGGCAGAGCAAAGCGAACGGACATCCTGTGATGATAGCGGCGTGGCTCAGCCATGTGACGTTTCCCTTCTTTGTGAAAAACTTCACAATATAATCATTGGGAACAACAACTATATGAATGTAGAAGAAGCAGCAGATCTTGCCAGTGAGGAAGAAGATGAAGACGAATAATAGATATGCGGGGAAATGGAGGATCTCGCTTATAAGGCCCTTGTAGAAATTCACACACATGAGCAGGAAGAGATAAACTTGCTAATTCTAATTATTTTTGCCATGGAGAAGCAAGAGATTTTCTATGATTTGCAGACAATAAATGGAACAGGACATGCTGTTCTCTGCCTACTCAAAAAGCAAACAGGATCCCTCTAGCTTTCCTTAGGGAGCTCTTCTGCAAGAGAAAGAAAAGGAATAGGGAGTGAATTAATTTTATGCTCCCTGTGAATGTTCAGAGCCTTTGCTCCATTGTAAATCTTGAATCCACTCAGGACTTCGAAATCTTACGATGTGGCAAGTGACAATTTTCAAATGGCAGCTGCTGTAAAACTCAGTCACTTCCAAATGGTGTGCACCATCATTATGCTTCTAGGCAAACTGCTAACGGGAGGCGATGGCCCAGCACGAGCTATGACTCTATTTGGTCGAGAGAGTTTTCACTTCTGCCTTTTTGGAAAAGGAGATGTGCTAATGTCTAGGGGGTGGAATGGGGTGAGGAGGATGAATACAGATGTATTGTTGTCACTTTAGGATTCTGGATCTCTTCTAGGACTCTGTCCAAATTGGAAAAAGGGAAAGCAAAGGCTATGGAACCAAAGCTGAGTAACCCTACAAAGACTGTTCCATCGTAGTAGAGAATTGTATCCAGGACAGAGGATTTTGGGATGTCCTATTTTCAAGCTCAGAAAGAGGAGTCCTGTTCAAACCTCCTACACAGCCATATGTGTATTGCAAGAACAGCTGAGCTAGACTGGTTACAGAAAGCTAACAAGTGACTGGTATTAAGAGGTCAGCATGTCCACTGGGGATGTGAAAGGTTAATCACTTAACCAATTACCTGGTAAGCATAAGGCTTAATAGAATTCTTGCTGGGTAACTGGTTAACTGGACCTTGCCCCGAAACTCCAGTGGACGGCCAGCTATGTGAGGCTGGAGCAGCCACAGTTGGGTCAAGCTAACTGGTGGGATCCCAACCAGACTCACATTAGGCCAGTCGGGCTGAACCTCGGCTGTGTCGGGCCAGCAGACAGAGCCACATCTGGTCATGGCTGCGCTGAAGCAGCTCTGGCAGACAGGTGGTACCCCTGTCCTACAGACCTGGCAGGACTACAGCTCTGTTGGGACCTCAGCCCCAGCTGCCCTCCAGTGGCTCACCAATAATTCAATCATCTGACTGGTTAGGTGTTACAACAGAGAGTTACATCCCTAGTGTCCACCTCTCATTAAGTCTCGAAATGTTTACTGACTTGCTTAAAGCCCCAGCTTTTTGAAATAAGCAATATGCTTGTCTTTTAAAGAAGAAAAGCCTGAAAATGTGAACAAAGCATGGTCTTTGGCTCAGCAACCAAAAAGGCAATGAAAAGAACCCCAAAGGATATAGCTTTTTAGAACCTCTTGATTTTTTTTTTCATGATTATGGGGCCTGTCTCATAATACAGTAAAACTCCAATAGTCCAGCATCCAATAGTCCGGCACTCCTGATAGTCCGGCATCAAAATGGCAAGAGCCTAGTGAATGAACTTTGGCAAAAAATGAGTCACAAGGTAACAGCGGCAGCAGCTGAACTGAGCAAAAAGGGTAAAAAAGGCTTAAAAAAACTAAAACATTACAGTATACTGTATACAGAATGTACAATAAAAAGGGTTAAGAACACTTTATATACAGTATATAATGTATACAGTATATATATAACCAGCTTATGGTACCTCCTGATAGTCCTGCATATTTGATAATCCGGCACTGGATAATCCTAGGTCCCATAGGTTCCGGATTATCAGAAGTCTACTGTAGTAGAATGATTGATATTATCTCAGTTGCCTATATTAATCATGTGGTGCTTGGACATGA